TGGGGGGGGGGGGGCGGCGATCGCCGCGCAGCGGGGCCGGAGCGCGGAGCTCGATGTACATATGTACATAGGCGCGCGCGCCTAGTGCTTCATGTAGGAGGTGTCGAACCCATCCTGCTCGATGACCTCCTTGAGGCAGTCGGGCGTCCGCATGACGAGGTGGTTGATGCCGCACCACTTGTCGCTCCGCTCGAACTCGAGGTTCTTCCACTCCTCCTCGACGATCTTGATGTGCTGGTCGCGGCTGCGGATCTCGCCCGCGCGCGCGAGCACGCGGCGCTGGCACTCGCGCCAGGAGCACTCGATGGGCGAGTTGATGTCCGGGGAGTAGCACGGGAACTTCGGCGTGTCCTGCGTCTGCATGTGGCCGCCGGGGCCGGGCGCCTTGTCCGGGAAGTTGCCCTCGGCGTCGCAGCGCTTCGACGCGACGGAGGCGAGCTTGTGCTTGCGGAAGAGCGCCGCGGTCTGGTCGTTCCAGTGCTTCGGGTCGTTGTCCTGGATCACCTCGATCGTGATCGCGCGCGTGTTGCGGACGTCGCAGGAGTCCGAGATGGCATCGTAGAACTCCGGGAGCCGCGGGACGAGGCCCTCCTCGAGGATCTTGATGTAGCGGTCCTTCTTGAGCGTCTCGCCCTGGTCGAGCCACATCAGGTTCGTCTTCATGTTGTAGCCGACGCCGGCCCAGCAGAACGCGCGGTAGAGGCCGCGCGCCTTCGTGTGCGGCAGCGCGCGGTTGTCCTTCTTCCACTCGATCATTGTACTGGACGTCGGTCATCTGCTCGGCGTGGGCGATGTTCCACTCGCCGTCGTCGAACTTCCACGACCCGTGGCGGCTGTCGTAGAGCCCGAACTTCTTCTCGTCCGTGAAGAGCTTGCGCTTGAGCAGGTTCGGGTCGCGGAGGATCTTCGCGAGCCACTCCTGGGCGAACTGCACGCGCCACCGCGCGTGCCACGGCGTGAGCACCATGTGCTTCTCGCCCTTGTGCGAGTAGCTCGCGCCGAAGTCGACGAGCGTGCGCCGCACGGTCCGCACGCTCGGCGCCTCGCGGTCGTCGCCGGACTTGCGCCGCTGCTCGGCGACCTGGACGACGATGTCGGGCGCGTTCATGCCCTTGCGCGCCTTCTCCTCGACCAAGCTCTTCGTGTTGGGCGTCATCTGCTTGGCGACCTTGTGGCGCCCGTCGGAGAACAGCGCGCCGATGCCGTGCTCCAGGTACTTCTCGTACCACCCCGCGGTCTTGAAGTTCTGGGCGTTCATGCCGAGCGCGTTCATGATCTTCGTGACGCCCAGGCCGCTGTACTCGAGGAGGACGCAGGCCTTGATGCGCTTCGCGACGGTGTCGTTCACGTCGACGATCATCTCGACCTTTTCGCCGTCGTCCGCGGCGCCGGCGGCCTCCGCGCGCGCGCGCTTGCGGTCCTGCTTCGCGCGGTGCTGGCTCGTCGCGAATTCGTCGGCCATCTTGCCGACGAAGGCGTGCGACAGCGCGTCCTGCCGCAATTGCACATGTGATCGACGCAGCGCTCTCCCTAGCTTAGATGTAACCCTAGAAAACCACCATTTCTTACGTCCCGTACTTTTAGTGTGACGTCGCGATAGAGAGGGAACAGGGTAATGTAAATTACGAGGATGATGGGGAATCACGAAACTACTCAATTCAGATAGAGCCCTTTTTCAAGTTCACTATGCTGACTACGAGGAATTCCCTTTTTAGGTTCAGCCCCGCAACTCGGCTTCCACCCCCTTCGCCCTGGATTCTGCCGGTCTCCCGTCCCCTTCGTTCCGGATTCTGCCGGTCTACAGCGAGACGGACAGTGGAGTTTAGCGCGCCGAAGGCGCGCTGAGTTTCCCCGCCGAAGGCGGGTTGTGAATTTCCGCCGAAGGCGGCCAAGTTCGAGTTTAGGGTTCGGGTGTCGGGTTGCCCGACGGCCGGGCCGGTCATTGGCCCTTGAAAGGGCCAAAGACCGGCCCGGCTGCGCGGGAGGGTAGGGTTACAGGGATCTGTGACGGCGCGGAGCGGGCGTGCGTAGACCTGTAGTCCGTCGGGGCGGCGGAGGTCGGGGGTTCGAGGACGGTGAGTGGAGCGAGAGTACGAAAGTGGGGGTGGCAAACGTCAACGGTATCTCCGCGCCGTAATTGCCACAAGCGTTGGCCATGGGGGGCGCGAGTGATCTCCTCGACGCGGCGCAGCGACGCGCGAGTGATCTCCTCGACGCGGTGCATCTGCGACGACCATCTCCGCGACGAGAGAGGCCATCTCCGACGGAGCGACGACATCTCCGACGCAGCGACCACATCGCCGCGCCGCAGCGACAATCTCCGACCGGAGCAGGAGCAGCAGCATCTCCGACGACGCCATCGACGACGACGCCGCCGCCGCGAAGAGCGGCATCGCGATCTCCGCGAGGGACGCGACGGCGGAGCCCATCATCGCCTCGACGAACGAGGCGAGGGACGGAGACGATCTCGGCGACGGAGACGACGATCTCGGCACGGACGATCTCTCGGACTCGACGGAGAGGAACGTCGCCGCGGCACGCCGCCCGTCATCGCCGCCGACGGACCATCGCCCAGCGCATCTCCGACCGCAATCTGGGCATTTTTGGCACTTCGACGGCGAAAATTTTTCCCGCTGCGCGGAGGCTTTGATCTCGAGGATCTCCGAGGGACGCGGCGGGTGGGGAGATCGAAATCTCCGCGGAGACGGAAGAAAACCCAATCTCCGAGACGAAAGCGGCCGATCTCCGGGACGCGGGCCGCGCCGTGCCGGCGCGGCCTCCCATCTCCGCCCGGCGGCGCGCCTGGAAGGCCCGCGCGGGAGACGGGACTTGGAAGGGATCTCCGCGGAGCGACCATCGCCCATGTCCGGCCGCCCGTCCCCACGATTTCGCCCTCGACGGGGACGGAGACGAAGGAGGAGATCGATCATCCCACGGTTCTATCGCAAGGTTCTATCCGGCGGAACTCGGAGATTGACGGAACTCGGCGGACGGCGCTCTTCGCGGCTTCGACGGCGGCGAGGACGGTACCTGCTCCGCGGCTGCTCCGCGTCAGCGTGGCCCTCGGTCGTCGCCGTCGCCTTCGCCCTGGGGCGGGCGTACGCGGGCGCGATACGGCCGCGCGACGCGCCGGCGAGGACGGAGCTCTCTCGGGCGGACGGCGCTCCTGGCGCGTCCGTATCGTCGCCGATGACGTCGCCGCGGAGCTCGTCGTCTCGGGTCATGTGGCGAAGTCGCTGGCCGGTCCGCGACTGCGCTACGACGACGTGCGCTCCTTCGCGGAGCTCCTTCGCGGCCGGCGAGGACGTCGCAGCTTCTGGACGTGTCCTACTGCGAGACCTGGTGCGCGAGCCGGTCCGCGCTCGCCGAAGCCGCGACGCTCGTCTCGGGTCATGTGGCGATGGAGACGCTCACGGGCGACTGCGCTACGACGACGTGCGCTCCTTTGCGGAGCTCCGTCGCGGCCGGCGAGGACGGACCTGTCGGGCGGACGGCGCGATGGAGCACCCTGTCGCGGAGCCCCACGACGACGTGCTCTCCGCGACGTCGTCGCCGCTTCGGCCGCGCCGCGGAGCGACGACGTCGCCGCGGTCCACGACGGCGTCCATGACGGCGGAGGCCCCGTCGCGGCCCCCGCGGGCCCGTCGAGGCCGCCGCGGGCCCGTCGAGGCCGCCGAGGCCTCGACGGCGGTCCGGGGAGGGCGCCACGGCGCGGCGGTAGGCGGCGGCCAGGAGGAGCTACGCTCGAGGAGCCCGCGAGCCCGGCGGACGGTGCTCTCCGTCTGGAGCCGCGCGCGCGCGCGCGCGTCCGTCTTCCCGCCGGTAAAAAAAACCTCTCACCGACAACAAAAGACGTCGGGCCACCTCCCGCGACGCCGCCCCGTCCGCCGCGGCGACGACGCACCGCCGGCACAGCGCCCTCGGATGTTGGGCCCATCCCATCGGATCCCCTGCCGGAGGGCGTCGGGAGGTTGAGTCGGCGGCACCTTGCACCGCACGGAGCAGTCGGGCTGCCGCCGATGGGGCGCTCCGGTCGCGCCGCGGGGCAGCCGCGGCGCTGGACGCGCGGGACGCGCGAGCAGGCCGCGAGGTGCTTCACGTCGACGGCACCGTCGGCGCGGCCCACGTGCTGAAGTGTGCGCGGCAGATCCGATCTGTCGGCCTTGCTCAAGAAGCAAGTCTGACGGCACGATGGTCGTCTCATCAGAGCACGTCCACGCGCGCGTATTTGCCCGCGTCCCGCCTTGTCGAGCTCCGCCTGCCCTCCCCGGACCGCCGTCGAGGCCTCGGCGGCCTCGACGGGCCCGCGGCGGCCTCGACGGGCCCGCGGGGGCCACTTTAATAGCAGAGTTCATTTTTTTTCGCATCTTTCGCTCCGAAAAAAATGCGGGCGCGGCGCGTGGTGCGGCGTCGCTCGCTCGACGGCCTCGCCGGCGGTCCCGAGCCTCGCGCGCGCGTCGGTCTCGCGGGGCTAGCGGCCGCCGACGTTCGGCGTCGGGCGCCGGAGATCGTCGACGGAGACGCTCGAGATCGACGTCCCGAAAGAAATGCGGGCGCCGCGCGTGGAGAGGCGCCGCTCGCTCGACGGCCTCGTCGGCGGTCCCGAGCCTCGCGCGCGCGTCGGTCTCGCGGGGCTAGCGGCCGCCGACGTTCGGCGTCGGGCCCGTCGCGGAGATGACGGAGACGCTCACGGGCGACGTCCCGACGCAGGTGGCCGTCGAGGGCGAGACGACGACGCTCTACGCCCAGCAGCGCGCCCACGTCGGTGGGAACACGCACAGCCGGGACTTCGTCGACGCCATGGTCAGCGAGGTCGGCGCCGGCCGCGGCGGCGTGAACCAGCTGGGGAGCGCCGGCCCGCCGGCGGTCGGCCCGCGGCGCTACGTCCGCCTGCTCAACCACCGGAGCGCCGAGGTGGGTCACACGGAGGCTTCGCGATGACCTCGTCCTTTTCCCGCCGCGCGCGCTCGACGCGCTCGAGCTAGGAGGCCGCGAAGCTCGCGAGCACGTCGTCCGTCCGGCGGGGCGTCTCGGAGAGCCGCGCGGGGGCGTAGCGGCCCCTCGACGACGCGCTCCTCGCGCAGGTCCCGGTGCTGCACCAGAACGTCGCGCTCTCGGCGCTGCCGCTCCGCTACGACGCCGCGTACAGCCACGTCGTGACGGACCACCTCGTGACGAACGACCTCGTGATGGACGAGTGGCACGCGACGCTGCCCTGGTGGTCTCGAGCCGGCGTCCGCGCGCGCGCCGAGAAAACACGTTACGCGGTGCCGGGGCACAGGCAGGACACCGAGTCCGAGTCCGAGTCCGACGACGACGACGTGTTGGACTTCTACGAGCAGTTGTGGGTCAGGCCACGCGACGTCCGCCGCTGGGAGGCGTGGAACTTCGAGGTCTTCACGCCTCACTCCAAGCTCAAGTACGGCGACGTCCGCCCGACGATCTTCCTGGCCAAGACGCCCGTCTTCGTGGAGGAGATAGGAGAGGTCGTCAACTCGTTCTTCAACACGCCAATCAAAACGCGCATGGAGCGTTGTCTTATCCGCATCAGGGCTTTGTCGCTGTACCGCCTGAAATTCCCCATCTCCGACACTTTTAGCCGTGTCGACAGCGCGCCGAGTTGGAACGTGATTGTGGTGACCCAGCTGCGTCATGGGTACGCGCGTCGGGATTCGCTGCCGCTCGATCTCGGCTGAGAGAGTCTCACGCGACCTCCGCAGGCCGAAGAGCCGGATATCTACGAACAGCTGGACATCTACGTCGACTCGCTGCCGGACCTCTGACGAGTCGGACTCAGACTTCGACATGCCCGGACTCAACGCGGCGCCCCCCTTGGACGATGACATTCCCTTTGCTGTTCTCTCTCCCTTTGATTCCTCCCTTAGCCGCGACTAACTGACATGCCCGCGCCCTGCGCGGACGACGGCATTTCCGCGTAAAGCAAGCGTGGTATTACGGCTCCTCGCGTGGTCGCTCGACGAGCGCCGCTGCTCGGACGGGCATGCCACAAGTTCCGTGTCCGAAGCGCCGGAACGGCTAGCTCGTAATTTTGGGGCCCTGGCGACCACGCGGCGGGCTTTACGCCAGATCCGACGCGAGACGTTAGGAAATCAAGGGCGCGGCCCCCCCGGCCTGGTGAGGCGCCGCTCGGGCGCCTCGACGAGTAGCTCGTGGACGCGGCGGCCGACGATCTACTAGTTCTGCGCGAGCCAGATCTGCATCGCGTGCAGTGTGTCGAAGGTCGCGGTCAAGGGCATCGGCTCTTCGTCGCGGAGGTCGCGATGTGCCGCGACGCGGTCGTTTCGTCGATGTTGTTCTTCTGGAGCCACCGATGCTGCCTCGCACGGCTGGGCCATGTGGACATGGTGCGCCGCGATCGCGTCGTCGACGGCGCGGAGATGCTCGGTCGTGTGCAGGTCGGTCTGCGCCGTCGCGTCGGCGCTCCTCGTAGGCGCCGCGCTGCTCGTGCGAGGTTTGAGCAGCGGCGGCGTCGAGAGCGCGGGCAGCATCGCGCCGCCGGGGCTGCGCAAATGTGCACGATGACATCAAGGTACCGCCGGGTGGGCAGCCCGATGCGCTTCGCGCTGGAGGTGTGTCGTGTCTCCGCTGCAGCTGCCGCCGCCATGACGAGCTCCGGGTGATTCGCATGGAGCCATTGGACGCGGGCGAGGCGTCGAGAGTGGCCATGCCCGACGCGGCGACCATCGCGAAGACGACGGTGGAGACGCTCACGAGCGACGCCGAAATAGTCACGGCCTACGGCACGGGCGCGCTCACGGCGCGCGTGCTCATCAAGGCCGTCGCGGGCAAGCTCGGCGTCACGGACGCGGCGCAGGCGAAGGCGTTCGTCAAGCCGACGGTCAAGGCGACGCTCATGGATTTCATCGCGAATTACGTGCCGGGGCCCTGGGACGGGCCGTTCGTGCCGTGGCGGCGCTCGACTCGCCCGCCTCCTCCGTATTACGCACGAAGTACGTGGGCGTCGACCGGCGACCGCGTGAAAGCGCTCGAGGCGCACGTGCTCGAGGACGGAGCCAGGTCCGACTGGGACATGGTCTGCGACTGGCTTTATGAGCTCCGCTACATGAACATCTGCATCGACGACCTCATGGGGAGCAGCCTCGGTCGCACGGTGTCGGGCCTCGAGAAGGTCGACGAGAAGGTCGACGACGAGCCCGTCGCGAAGCGGGCCAAGCATTTGGTCAGGAAGTGGAAGAAGCTCGCCGCGCGGGCGCAGGCGTCCGGCGGCGCGGCGCCGGTCGAGGTCGACGTCTCCCTCGCCAACTACGTCCGCGACTTCCACGACGGCGGCATGGCGACGCGGAAGCGGCAGAACGCGATGCTTCATATTCAGATGTTCGCCAGGGCCAAGCCCAGCGCGTACGCGAGCAACTTGGAGGCGCGCGTCGCGCACACGGACGCGATCCGCGCGACAGGCGTTGTTGACGCGCTCCTCGAGTTCATACACGTGGTTCCGGCGCTTGGAGGCGGAACGGAGGCGCTGTGTGAGATGGCCAGAAGCTGCGACGACGCGGAGACGATCGTCGAGGCCGGTGGTGTCCAGCGGGTCTTTGAGATCCTGTGCCTGCCTTCTTACTCGGCTGAGAACTACCATGCGAATCACCAGGTTCTCAAGCTGCTGATGATGATCGTGATGAAGTCGTCCAAGGCGAGGGCGATGATTTGCGAGGAGAGTCGGTTCATCAACGTGCTCATAGAGTGCCTGGGCTACCGTTCGCCTTGTTGTTATTTCGCTCAGTCAGTGCTGGAGTCGTTATCGGAGGACAGCGACACGAACGCCGTCGCGATCATCGCGTGCGAGCTCCGCGCGGTCGCAGTCGTCGAGCTCGGGATGTTCGGCTGCATCACCTGCCGCGGCCTGCCCGATAGACGTCTCCTGGCCATCGCGGGCGAACGCGCGAGGCGCGAGGCCGTCCTCGTCGTCGCGCAGCTGCTGCGCGAGCGAGCGCCGAGCTCTCTTCAGCGCCGCGTCCCGTGGGTCCTGCGCCGGGTCATCGTGTCCTTCGTCTTTTGCCCGAACGCGCTGGCCTCACGGTGACGGCAGACAGGGTCGCCGCTCCCGCCTCGCCTCCGCGCCGCAGACGCTGTTCCAGCCGAGATAATGACGGTGTGCCGGGACGGGCGTTCCTCGGTGACGCGTGGCGGTGGTAAAAATTGCAAATCCCCACAGCGAATACGACCGCGCGGACGCGTCGTCGCCCGCCCTTCAAGTGCACTGCAAATTTGCCACAAGCGTTTTTGGGCTTGCCGACATTATGGGCTGGCACTTGGCCGCGCGCCGCTGCGCAGACGATCATGATGCCAGCCGCGAGAACACGGCTCCCGAGGGCGGCAACGCGTTGCATCGCGACATCGTCGGCGACGTGCGCGAGTTGCTGGCCGAGGAGCGCGGCGGCGTCGACGGCGGCGACGATCTCGCACCTCGAGATCAGACCGTCCCGGCGACGCGCGAGGACCTGCCGGGCGCCGACGTCGCGCAGCATGGAGAGCATCGAGCGGCGACGGGTGACGCAGCGGCCGAGCGTGAGCGCGCAGCCCCAGCGCCTCCCGCCGAGGTCTTCGAGGACAGCCACCGCTCCGGCGCCGCCGACGTGTGAGCAGACTGGTCGCAACGCTACCGACGCGGTGGAGCCTCTTCGACGGCGCTTCTTCGACGGCGCCTCGAGCGTGTGCGACGCGGCGACGGACTGGCGCCCGTAGGCGTTCGCCCCCGTCGTGCCGTGGATTTCTTCCCGCGCGCTGGCGCTCGACGCGGCGTTTCCCTGCGGCCTCGGGGCGACACACGCGCTGCGCAAGCTCGAGTCTCGCCCGTCGCCAGCGGACGGGGCGGCACGGTCGGCGAGATGGTCCTGCGGCTCCACAACCCCGCGGATCCGCGCCCGGCGCGCGTTCGCCGGCGTGAGCCCCCACTCGACGTCCGACGCTCCAGTTGCCGTGGTAAGCTCGTCTAGACTCTCGCCGGCGTGGACTCGGTCATCTTCCAGGCGTTGATCGCGAGCGCACAGGATCAACGTTACAACAAGGGGGGCGGAGAGCAGCACAAGGGGGCGGGAGAAGAGGAGCGGGTCATGTTCGCGAGGAGCTGAGACTCCAAGGCAGGCGCGTCGGCGGGGGTGCGTCGCCTCATGCGCTAGAGAGAGAGACTCGGCGCGATGATTTGAGGGGCGACGCCGTCGCGCCGCTACACCGGCACGTTCTGCACGAAGAGGTACCGCAACGCGACCGGCTCCATCCACAGGGCGGGCATCTCCGTGAGGGCCGTGTGCTGCGCGCCGTGGGCGCAGAGGAGCCTGCCCATGGGCAGCGTGTCGTTGAGGTGGAGGTGCTCCCGCGCCGCCGCGTCGTCGAGGAGGTTGAGCAGGCTGCCGAGCTCGGCGCGGTCGGGCGTCGGGATGGCCTCGGTCTCGAGCACGAGGCGGGCGAGCTCGAGGTTGACGAGGGCGCGCGGCAGCGCCCTGGCGTCGGCGACGAGGCGCGTGAGGGCGTCGCCGGCGTGGACGGCGCCGTGGGCGATGAGCTCCTTGGACGCGGCCAGGTGGCGCCCGAGGAGCGCGACCTTGAGCGCGGAGTCGGAGCCGCGGTAGGAGTTCGCGTCCGCGCCGTGGTTCACGAGCAGGCGGACCCGGTACCAGTCGCCCGTCTCGGCCGCGTCGAAGAGCGCCTCGTCGAGCTTGGCCGTGCTCATGGCGACGCGGGGCAGCGCGAGGCGCAGGACCTCGGTGTCGAGGTTCGGCTGCCGCACGTTCTCGAGCGCGTTGCGCGCGAGGTATTCGAGGTGGTCCGCGGGCTCGCCCATGATGTCGAGCGCGGCCAGGTCCCAGTCGTACGCGAAGTCGATGGCCGACTCCGCGTTGTCCGAGTTGAAGACCGTCGGGTCCGCGCCGAGGTCGATCAACATGCTCATCATGGGGTAGTCGCGCCGCACGACGGCCTCGTAGAGCGGGGGCCCGCCGTACTGCACGACGCGGAAGCGCCAGCAGTCGACGTCGGCCCCCAGCTCGACGAGGCGCCGCGCCGCGGCGACGTGGCCCTCGACGACGGCGACGATGAGCGGCGTCACGGCGGGGTTCTGCTCCAGCGGCGCGCCGCAGTGCATGACGAGGAAGTCGATGGTGGCGAGGTCACCCATCTTCGCGGCGAGGGCGAGCGCCGTCCAGACGTGGCCGCGCGAATCGGGCGCGGACTGCTCGAGCACGCTGGCGCCGTGGGCGATGAGCTCGGCGAGGACGGCGGTGCTGCGCGTGCCGACGGCGGCGAGGAGGACGCCTTCGCCGCAGAGGCTGACGCGCCGCGCCCGGACGTCGGCCAGGATGGGGAAGAGGAAGTCGAGCGTGTTGATGCCGCCGATGCCGAGCACGAGCATCACTCGCTGGACCAGCTGCGCGGCGCCCTCGGCGTCGTTGGGGTCGTCGTCCATCGCCGCGATGGGGTCGTCGTCCATCGCAGAGCGGACGCGCGTGGCTGTCGAGGATGTGCTCGTCGTCGCACAGCGCCGCGTGGGCGCGTGCCGCGTTCTTGGATTCGCGCTGGACTACTGCGGGTCCATCACACAAGAATCGCAGAGCCGAGGCGAAGTGTTGCAGATGCAGTTGCCCTCGGGGAGCCGTCCCAAGCGCGCTTTTGCCCTCCTGGGTTCACGACGCAATTCGTAGGATTTAGACAGGGAACGCGTGGCCTTGCTCAGCCGTCCAGCGACGGGGCGGCCGCTTCGAGGTAGCTCGCGAAGGCGTCGGCCGTCGTCCGGAAGTGGATGATGCGCTGCTTGCGGTGAGGGAGGTCGTTGAATGCCTTGAGGAGGTCGGGCGGGATGTGGTTCTCTCGGTCGACGACGTAGATCTTCGTGATGCCGGCCGTCTTGGACTCCTTGATCATGAGCTCGACCATCTCCGTGTCGCCCGAGAGGCCGACGATGATGAGGACCTTTGGCGTGCCCGCGATCTCGCTGAAGGGATTCGTCCGATCGAAGTCAAAAGGGTTGCGCTTGAATTGGGTGTTGTCGTAGAGCGCGACCTTGGGCGCGAGCTGGTTGCCCGCGCCGTCCACGACGGGACCGTCGGCGACGGCGAGGAGCTCCTGGTACTGCTCCCGCGTTGTGGTGACCTCGTGACCGTCCGGACTCCAGGGGGCAAGGACGCCGTGGACTTCGTGGACGGGCAATCCCGACGAGGCCGCGAGGCCGTCGACGTTCAGCGTCACGATGACGGCCCTGTCGGGCATGACGTTGCCGACGGTGCTGTAGAAGTGGCCCTGGGGGTTGGGCGCCTCGCGGTAAGCGACCAGGGCCGCCGCAAGCGGCTTGAGGATGCGGTTGACCTGGGCCCAATTCCCGTCCTCCGGCCAGACCAGCTCCTCGCGCATCGTCTGCGTGAAGAGGTACGCGATGAGGCCGGCGGAGGCTCCTGCGCCGCAGAGGATCAACGCGTGGGCTTCTTCGAGCTGCGCGCGCAGCTGCTCGAAGTCCCGCCGCGCGACCGCGTCCAGGTCCGCGAAGGCGACGGCGTCGGCGACGGGGGGCAGGTCCACGGTCCGGAAGGTCGGCTTCAGGTCGACGGCACGTTGCGAACGGCGCGCCATGACAAGGCGGCGCCTCGCGGACCGCGACGCGGGCGCGAGGCGAGGTCCGCGCCCGCTGCGACCGGGGTGGGGTCGACGGCCTCGCGGACCACGAGGCTAGCGCGGCGCGGTGCGAGAGGCGTCGCAGCTCGGGTCGGCCCGGGGCTCCCTTGTTTGTGCATCATCGACGTCAACATCGTTCAAAATCGGCTCAACCGATGG